GGAAAATATTCAAACCCGGATCCTCATTTTGTTTTCGAATATTTTTAAATCCAATTTTCCGCACAATTGAATCAAAATACTTGCAATACATACCTACATGTCTTGCACATAGTCTATATCAAGTGCGACAAATGACATATATAAGCATTTTTTCCGCCCCCACACATGCTACATGATTTTTTTTTTTTTTTGACATCTCTGGGATTAAATTCTGAAAATGTGTCTTGACCTGATTCTTCTCCCTGCTCTCTCGAACTGAGAGGCTTCAGAGTACTCTCTTGTTTTTTATGGTATAAGGAGTGCCAAATATTGTATCTTATTGTAAATCAAGAGGATCTCATTAGGAACCGGGCCCGGGTTTGGGTACTTTCCATCTATTTATTATTAGCATGTTTATGTAGTGACAATGACCGTATTTGAAAAACGTCACTCTCTCTCTCTCTCTCTCTCTCTCTCTCTCTCTCTCTCTCTCTCTCGTCTCTTTATCGACGAAAATCATAATCATTTCTCTGTCGTAAAATACTTCACCGACCCCAGCCACCTCGTGTTGATTAAGGTACACTTCATCCGACTTACGTCCGAATTATGCTTTGAAGCTATTCTTATGTAACGCACCAATTTTGAGTAATTTGAACCTAAACTGGCTAATTCACGTGTGAAATCCGTAAATTAGGTGTAACATATTGTTTAGGGCACGTCTTGTGTCCACGTTTCAATTAAAAATTGGACGGAAATTGACCGGTGGAAAAAAGAATAAGTGACTAGGCGGATCACAAACAGTCACAAAGAGAATACGAGATGACCGCTACATTAGAAATAAGAAGCGTGCTGGAATGCGATATCTGACCTCGACGCAATAAACATTAGAGACTAGAAAGAAAACGTTTCGAGAATAAGGAGGAAAGCAATCATATGCGGCTGACCACAAACGAAACTGACGAGAGAAAAAAGGAAACAAAACGAAAACAGGTGGAATGACGGAAATAATGAATTATAGTTCAGGAGGCAGCAGAAGAGAAATAATAAGCAGGATGGGTATAGAACAGAAACGAAAGTGATGGAAAGAGAACAAAGAGAAGATCGGGAGGGCAAAGGAAATAAGGAAACGAGAGTGCGGAGGAAGCGGAGGAGAGGACGACGATGTGAGAGCTTAGGATTCGGGAGTTAGGCCAGCTGTGGCGAGGAGCAGCGGAGTGTCGGAGGTTTCAAGGCCTGGGGCGAGGGGCTGGGGGCGAGCGAGGAGGCGTTGCGAGCGGATGCGACGCGCAGGGGCCGTCGGCCGGGAGCCCGTCGCTGTTTGCTCTGCGGCGATTGCCCGCAGGCCGGGCGTCGCCCACTCGCCGCCGCGCCCCTCGCTCCACGCCCCTCGCTCCACGCTCCACGCCCCACGCTCCACGTCCCACGCTCCTTATTTTCCACTAAGCGGATAGCGTCGCCAAGGGTGAAAAACTATCTGAGGCGGAGTGCGGCCGTGGTTGGAGGTGCTTGGCGCTGCTCGCGTAGGTTGCGGAGGCGCATTGGCTGGCTATCGGACGGGGCCCGTGGGCGGGCGGCGCGGCGGGGCGGGCAGGGGGGCTTGTCGCGAAAAGAAGCTCGCGAG